CTAGAAGGGTTTCCCAAAAATAATCTCCCCACGCTCGAGTGTCTTACAGAATTCGTGAGTAGAGGTTAGATATTGGATTGAGGAGTGCGAATGCGTGTTAAATTAGGTGGAAAGTGAACAAGGGAAAGTAAATTAAAGCCACTTATATTTGTTTTAGTGACTCCTGTTGCTTAGGCTACTGATCCTTATTGACCAATAAGAATAGCAGAAAATTCCTATTGACGGAAATTCGACCTTAGGCTGGCAGAATTTATTTTAAGACAACCCTAGGCAGGCGGAACTTTGTTTCAGGCGGCCCACAAGACAGTCTTACTCCTAAAATATTCCTAACATAAAATTAAACCATAGTTCCAATCTTAAACCCGAACACTGACTCTAGAGGTAACACTAAACCTAACCCTTACCCTGACCTTAATCCAAACCATAATTTCCCCGAAATTTGGCAAAAAGCCGCCTGTATTGCGGACGGTTCCAGGTCTCATGTCTTGGGCATATAAGTATGCCTTATCAACTAAAGTAAAATGAAGCCGTAATTGACGTGCACGGTCTACGTTCAGCCAACGGCCACTTATAGCAAACTGGAATCCTGGATAACTCCTGATGTGATGTAGGTTAGCACGGAAGTGCAGGAAGGGGGAGCCTTCAATAGGTGTAATAGGGACACGAGCGGCCATGCACTCAGAACCCACGGCCCGGAGTTATGCGCACAGGCAAATAGCGAACGCTAAGGGCCGGTCACAGCGTGAGGAATTATCGATCAGCGTGCACACGCGACGACCGTTCACGCAGCGTGGGGAACTATCGATTAGCGGCAGGCCAGAATAGCGGTCGCATGCTATTGGGCCAGGAGTATTCTAGAAGGCCACAGCCTCATAAATAGGCTGTATTGGAGAAGCTAGGGATTCTGCCGTCTCTGTGTTTTCGGAATAAAGGCTTGCTATCAGAACCGCTCTCTTGGCTTCTTCTGTCTATTAGTCGGGTTCGAAATAGTGGGCTATAACAGGAGGTCATACTGGGGATCAGTTGAGCGTTACGGAACATTGCTCCGTCGGCGACCAGTACACAAACAGAGGCCATAGAATAGGACAAAAATTGGACGAACCGATGCAGACACAAAAAGACCGACCGTGTCGCAGATAGGGAGATCCCAGCTGCAACCGCACAACTGGGCACTATAAACTGTCGCCTAATGACGAGCGTAGTAACACAACTGGAATTTTGAACTGTAATCCAAATTCTACAATAGTCTCTTTGAAAGGTAACAGATCTTTATGCCTCTTTACACCCAGATACTTCATATATTCCTCGTGTAGAATACACGAGGACCTCTCCCATGAATTGGACGACGATGGCCCCATAGCGCCACCGTAGTGAAGCAGTGGAAAACTGAATGGAAATTAGTTTAAAGAATATGCGCGCAACGTCAATCACATACTCTTTTCTCATACCCATTTATTTCCAATAGCAAGACTGGTGGTGAATTTGAGTGGTCACGCGCGCATTACAAGTCCTTCCCCCCCCCCAGCGGATGACCCTTCGACTCAAGATTGCAAAGGTGTCGCACAACACGCTTATTATACAGTGACGCCGCGCAGGATCAACTTCAGTGAGCGTATTTTAGGAAACACTTTGTCGGTTATTATCCACGGTAGTTACCCTCACTATGGCAGCGGACCTTTACCTGCTCATCAGATCAGCTAGGCGTGGCCTGTTGCTGTCGGTGGGAGAAAGACTGAGTTCGACCTTCAGCACATTTCCTTCCTCACTACAGTCAATCTGATGCGCTTGAAACTATCGCGGTGGGCTAAAAGCCGTGGCTTGGAGGGTTAACAACTGACGGGATAACTTGGACACTGCAGTTGACCCAGTGTGTGTCTTGTTGTGTGGAGTGGCTTACTGCGGGCTGATAGTTAGGTTCAATGGCTCCTTCTTAATGTGGCCTTTATGGCGCTCCCAGGCGGGAGCCTACCTAACGAGGTGTACTGTTGGTACATGTGTTGAGTGTTGGCCGCGCCAGCCGCCTGCGCCCTCCCCCATCTCCGGTCTTCTTGACTTTTGTCTTGACACTGGGTCTGGGTGTGGGAGTGGGGAGAGAGTGGGTTAGATTCTCCGCAAGTCTACTTTCACTATAATCCCGCGGGAGTCACAGCGTTGCCTTAGTTTTCTGAGGCTCGTGGTGGACATCGTGTGTGCCATAGCCCATTGTTAGATCAGGAGCCCCCGCCGGAGTCCAAACTGATTTTAGTTGGAAGACATCGTCGACAGCGGCGGCCAAAGTGTCGAGCCTACTCATCACAAATACATGCGAAAATTGTCTTTCTTCTGTTGACTACCTTTCTGTTTAACTGGGGGGCGGGGGGGATTATGAAGAACTTGAAGTTCCTAAAGAAGGTGTACGACGTAAAACGCTGAAAAATATTATTAATACCTACGGGGGTAAAATGAAATAATGCAAGAAAAAGGTCTGCATACCAGGCACTCGGGTTGGGAAAGGTGTGGAGGAACCAACGGTAAAAGACGAGAGGGTACATCGGCAGCCACTTGTTTAAGTACTTGTCCCGCTTGACTCTGAAAGAGAGAGGGGGGCAACAGTAAGGACACTGCCCAAGACAAGGGGCTCCAGACATGCATCAATATGGATCGCATAGTTGAGGATAGAGTTCAGACGAGGTTTTAATGTCCTGTCAACCAAGCGGGAAAATACAGATTCATATGAGGATAAAAAGGATTCAAGGGAATCTATCGAACATACTCCAGAGGATCCTCCAAAAGGGGAGCAAGCCGGCTCATATTTGTCCAGTTTATCGGATGATTAACTTCAATGTAGAGTTTGGACAGAATGGATCGGAAGGGTTGGGTGTTACAGACCCATTCGATCAGACCACCCTTCTCGCTCAGCGGAATCACAGCCTAGCATGGAGAAAGAAGAGAAGGCGTAAGTGGCAGTTGAAGAGAGCAGGCAGGCAGACAGACAGCACAGAACATGAAGCAGAATAAATCAAAGCCACCGGGCAGCCCTACATAGGTTCGAATTTGCAGAGCCCTGCGCCGAGTTTCCGGATTCTTCATTAGGAACTTGTTAATCATGCCATTGAGCTCCATCAGGCGACTGTCTTTGCGTAGGTCATCCTAAAAGGC